TGTTCAATTCTCTCCCTTGTTTTTTTCCCCTTTCCCCTCACCATCTCTTATATGTAATTCTGTGTAACAATGAGGGTCTCCTTCCATTTCCATACAGTTTCCCCTTCTCTCTCCCTTTCCCTCCCACCACTCATCTCTGTTTAATGTTAGTCTTTTCCTCATGCTCTTCCTCCCTGCTCTGTTCTTAGTTGTCTCCTTATATCAAAGAAGACATAAACAGATCAATTTCAAGCAATGAAATGGAAGACACCAACAAAAGCCTACTAACTAATGGGCTGGGGATATGGCTCAAGTGGTAGCGCGCTCGCCTAGCATACGTGAGGCACTGGATTTGATTCTTGGCACCACATAAAAAAACAAAACACAAAAAAACAAAAAAAATACCAAAATAAAGATATTGTGTCTACCTAAAAAAACCTAAGAAATAATAAAAAAAATAAAAGCCTACAAACATGCGGATGGGGTTGTAGCTCAGTGGCAAAGTGCTCATCTAGCATGTGTGAGGTACTGGGTTCAATCCTTAGCACCACATAAAAATAAATAAAGGCATGCTGTCCATCTACAACCACACACATACACACAAAAAAGTAAATAAATAAAAATAAAATAAAAAGCTTACTAACAAAGAAAAATCCAAGATCAGATGGATTCTCAGCTGAGTTCTATTGGACATTCAAAGAAGAACAAACATCAGTCTTTCTCAAATTATTCCATGAATGAGAAGAGGAGGGAACCCTTCCAAACTCATTCTATGAACCCAATATCACCCCAATACCAAAACTAGACAAAGACACACCAAAGAAGGAAAACAAAACTTCAGAACAATATCCCTGATGATCATAGATGCAAAAATTCTTAATAAAATATTGGCAAATTACATACAAAAACATATTAAAAAATAGTGCACCATGACCAAGTAGGCTTCATCCTAGAAATTCAAGGTTGGTTCAACATATGGAAATCAATAAACATAATTCATCCCATCAATAGATTTAAAGACTAGATTATCTCAATAAATACAGAAAAAAGCATTTGAGAAAATACAGCATCCATTCATGTTCAAAACACCAGAAAAACTAAGGATAGTAGGAATATACCTCAACATTGTAAAAACTGTATATGCTAAACCCAAGGCTAACATAATTCTAAATTGAGAAAAATTGAGAACATTCTCTCTAAAAACTGAAACATGCCCTTTTTCACCACTTCTATTCAACTTAGTCCTTGAAACTCTAGCCAGAAGAAATTAAAGGAATACTAATTGAAAAGGAGAACTCAAACTATCCTTATTTTCTGATGACATGATTCTATATTTAGAAGACCCAAAAAACTCCACCAGAAAACTTCTAGAACTCATAAATGAATTCAGCAAAGTAGCAGGATATAAAATTAACACCCATAAATCAACTGCATTCCTATACAACAGTGAGGAATCGATAGAAAGAGAAATTAGAAAAACTATCCCATTCACAATAGCCTTGGGAAAAAAAATTGAGAATCAATCTAAAAAAAGATGTCAAAGACTTCTAAAATGAAAAGTACAGTACATTAAAGTAAGAAATTGAAGAACTTTGAAGATGACTCCATATTCCTGGATAGGCAGAATTAATATTGTCAAAATGACCATACTAACAAAAGTGGTGTACATATTTGATGCAATTCCTATTAATATTCCAATTAATGTTTCTATTTCAATTCTTCATAGAAATAGAAAAGGCAGTCATAAAATTCATTTAGAAAAATAAGAGACCCAGAATACCCAAAGCAATCCCTAGTGAGAAAAATGAAATGGAGGCATCACAATACCAGACATTAAATTATACTACAGAGATAGAGAAACAAAAATGAACCACTTGGTAAAAAAACAAACAAACAACAACAAAATTGAATAGTATTTGCACCAAAACAGACATGAAGACCAATAGTACAGAATAGAAGACACAGAGATAAACCCACATAAATACCGTTATGTCATACTAGACAAAGGTGCCATAAACATACATTGGAGAAAGGAAAGCCTCTCTTCAGCAAATGGTGCTGGGGAGACTGGAAATCCACATGCAGCAAAATGTATTTATACCCCTATCTCTCACCTTGCACAAAACTCAACTCAAAAGTAGACCAAGGACCTGGGCATTACCCTATGCTTACTAGAAGAAAAAATATGCCCAAATAATCCATGATGTTGGCTCTGGAACCAAATTTCTCAACAAGACTCCTAAAGCACAATAAATAAAATCAAGAATTAATAAATGGGATGGTATAAAACTAAAAAGCTTCTTCACAGCAAAGAAAATAATGAAGAATGTGAAGAAAGAGCCTATAGAATGGAAGAAAATCTTTGCCACATGTACCTCAGATAGAACGTTAATCTCCAGAATATATAAAGAACTCAAAAAACTTCACACTAATAATAATAATAACAACAACAACTCAATCAATAAATGGGAAAGGAACTGAACGAACACTTCACAAAAGAAGAAATACAATCAATTAACAAACATAAAAAAATGTTCAACATCTCTAGCAATTAGATAAATGCAAATCAAAACTATACTGAGATTCTCACTCTAGTCAGAATGGAAATTAACAAGAACACAAGTAATAATAAATGATGGCAATGATGTGGGAGAAAAGGTACACTCATACATTGCTGGTGGGACTGTAAATTGGTGTAACCACTCTGGAAAGCAGTATAGAGATTCCTCAGAAAACCTGGAATGGAACCATATTTGACCCAGTTATCCCACTCCTTGGTATGTACCCCAAAAACTTAAAATCAGCATACTACTGGGGCTAGGGTTGTAGCTCAGTGGAAGAGCTCTTGCCTTGCATGTATTAGGCACCGAGTTTGATCCTCAGCACCATATAAAACATAAATAACAAAATAAATGCATTATGTCTATCTACAACTAATTTTTTAAAAAATCAGCATATTACCATAATACAGCTACATCAATATTTACAGCAGCTCTACTCACTGTAGCTAAGCTATGGAACCAACCTAGGCCCCATCAATAGATGAATGGATAAAGAAAATGTTATATACACAATAGAATATTACTCAGCCATAAAGAAGAATAAAATTATGGCATTTGCTGGTAAATGAACTGGAGATTATCATGCTAAGTCAAATAAGCCAATCCCACCAAAACCAAAAGCCAAACATTCTCTCTGATATGTGATGCTAACACACAATAAGATGGGGTAAGGGGAAGAAAAGAATAGAAGTTCACAGGATTAGACAAATGGGAATGAAGGGAAAGGAAGGGAGATGCAAATAGGAAAGACAGTAGAATGAATCAGACATAAGTTTCCTGTGTTTATATATAAATACAAGACCAGTGTAACTCAACATTGTGTACAACCACAAGAATGGGAAATTATACTCCAGGTATAATATGTCAAAATATACTTTATTGTCATGTATATCTAAAAAGAATAAACAAATTTTTAAAAGAGTCAATAGATTCTATTTTACTTTTTATGTTAGTATTGATGGATGGTTTATTCATTTAACTATCTAGCTTTTTAATAAACTACTACTCTAATATAAAAATAGAATATATATTTTCCAAATTATTCTATTAAAATATTTGATTAAAAATTCTTAAGAGTAGCAAAATTTGGGGAACAGGTGAGAAAATTACTAAGAAAAGACACAAAATAAAAGTACAAAAAGAAATAAATGAAATTAAGTATGTCAGTTATCAAGACATATAATATTAAAGGCCAAATATTATAAGGTTAGATTAGCCATATGCTATTTATAAGAGAAATATAAATATTCAAAATAAAGGGATAAATATGTCCCCCAAATTAAGTATGTTAAAAATATCAATAATTTCAAGTAAAATTTCAAGGCCTGAGGCATTAAATGGGGCAAGCATACAAATGAGAATGAAGTTATAAGAATGTGCATATAAAAAAGATATTTACGAAAAATTTACAAAAATACATGACATAACTAGACCAAGAAAAAACATCAATAAAATGTTTTCTAAAACTTGAAATCTGAAGAACTTTTGAATCTTATTGAATTAATAAACTAGAAATAAACAAACTCAAAATAAACACTCCTGAACAATCTTGGATCAAAAAAAATCAAAATTTCAATCACAAATTAGAAAATAATAATTTATAAAATCTGCACATGACAAAACATGTACTGTTACATACAAGTCTGATTTGTTTCCCATGGTAGATTTCTAGATGTGAAGCAGAAGTGAAAGTCACTGGAACAAAGTCTAGGAACATTTTGGCTAAGGATTTACACGGTGATCAATGTGATTGATCCCCATGTGGTAGCAGGAATTGAGGCAAAGCCAAGAGATAAATACCAAAGTATCAATTCATTTGGAAAAAAAACAAGAATTGAACACATAGTAGTGAAGGGACATCAATCCAGAAATTTAGAGCAGTTAACTAAAAGAAATATATAAACAGTACTTGATTTTCACACCAATAAAGTAAAAATCAGTTCCTCTGTGTAATAACCAGATTAGCGATAACTATTAACCAACGATTAAAAAGGAGGTTCTAACTATTTAACATCTTAGTAGTTTGATCAAACCAACTAGAAGGGATAGCTTCATGGCATATTTTCATAAATATATGCAAATCTGAAACAGAATATCCATATAATTCATGTAACTATATGAACATGAGCTAGGAGAAGCTTCTTGTTTTGTTTTATCATCCCTTTAAGGCATATCTTTATGTCAGAGGTTTCATTCATACATTGACAAAGAAATATGAGCATATTTAAGTTGCTTTATACTATAATTCTGAAATTACAGCAAAGAATTTTATGTTTCTTTGATTATCTTTGGACTTGATCTTAAACTGCTAAAAATCTGTTCAATTGTAATAAGCATAAAAAGCTTTCAGAGAACTGAAAGGTTTAAGGAAAAAAATCTTAGTGGAATTTTCTTTTCTGGTAAATGTTTCAACTCTTCAAAACAAGAGAAAACTTTTAGTTTAATGATAATAAAACTAACCTGTAATTTTTGCTGCCTTTTCTTCTTGGTTCACTCGGTTCTCATCATCATCTTCATTATCTTCTTCAAAGTCATCCAAATTGCCAATGTCAGCTTGCTTCATACTCATCAAACTAGCCAAACTTTGCATGTCTTCATCCCTATATTAATGATTAAAGACATAATCAAATTATAATACAGTTAATTTAAATGACATTGCTTGAAAAAGTATTATTTCTTAAGACATACAGGCTGAGTATCCTTTATCTGAAAGTTGAAAATCCAAATGTTTCCAAGTCCCAAACTTTTTAAGCCACTGAAATAATGCCACAAGAGAAAAATTGCATACCCAAGTTCACATGATAGGTTGTAGTGAAACTTCAGGTGCACTAAAAAACTGTATAAAATTATCTTCAGGCATATAAGGTGTATAAGGTGTCTATGAAACAAACAAATTTAGTGTTTAGACTTGGTCCCATCCCCAAGATGCCTCATTGTGTACATGTAAATATTCCAGTATCTAAAAAAATCTGAAATCTGAAACACTTCTGGTCCTAAGCATTTTGGATAAGGGATATCAATCTATAATAGTAATATATTCTTTATTTCTGTAAATCTGCAAATAAGTCTTTTTAAACAGTTGTATAAGAAAATTGAATAATCTAAGTAGTCCTATTCATTAATTTTTAAATAGCATGTTTAATAAGTAAAAAGAGAGGAAAATTAAAAACTAACCAATTAGGAGTTAATTTAAATCTGTATGCTATTCATAAAGCAATAGGATAAGCCAGGAGCAGTGGTGCACAACTATATCCCAGCAATTTGGGAGGCTGAGACAGGAAGATTGAAAGTTTCAGAGCAGACTCGGCAATTTAGTGAGGCATTCAGCAACTTAAAACCCTGTCTCAAAATAAAAAATTGAAGGGACTGGGATATAGATCAGTGGTAAAGAACCCCTGAGTTCAATCTCCAGCATCAAAAATCAACCAATCAATCAATAGTACAGTTGCAAATCACATGACATATAGACTCAAAAATATTAAAAATTTTTAATTTCAAAAGATAGCATTCCTAAAAAGTTAATTTGCTTTATATTTTTACTTTAATTTACTTATATTTTAACCCTGAACATTTTTCGTTGGGGAAGGTAAGTAAGTATGGAAGAAGTAGATAGAAAGAAGATTACCATCAAACAGTGACGAGAGGTGGGAGGGAATGGGAGAGGGGGAATTTCACGGAAGAGGGAAGGAGACCCGCATTGTTATAAAAAATACATATAAGAGGATGTGAGGCGAAGGGGAGGAAAAAAATATAAAAATAAGAGAGAGTGAGAGAAGTGAGTTACGGTAGTTGGGGTAGAGGGAGGGGAGGAGAGGGGAGGGAAGGGGAGGAGAGGGGAGGGAAGGGGAGGGGAGGGGGGACAGGAAGGGGATAAGAAGACCAGCAGAATACAACAGACACTTGTTTGGCAGTATAAATGTGGTTGTATAATCAACGTGATTCTGCAATCTGTACACCTGGGAATAATAAGAATTCATACCCCATTTGAAATAAATGTATGATATATGATGTGTCAAGATCAATGTAATGTTTTGAGCAACCAATAAATTTCTAAAAAAAAAAGAATCCTTTAGATATTAAAGGGCATTCAGTCATTAGAAATATAAGGGTGATAAATGAAATTGGGAAGAGAAAATAAGTTACATTGTATATTATTACAATATTATTGGAATGATTAAGATCTTTATAATCTGAATCATAAAACATAGTCATTAAATTTAATGGAAATAATCTTAAAAAAAAAAGAAGTAGGTAGAGAAGAAATTCAGGGATTTCTGAGAGTATCCATTCAATTCAAACTGAGACATTTGATATAGCTGAATTTCTTCTCACCCAGATTACTGTGAATGGTTTTGATTCCTTCCAATGGAAGGAAGACCACCCTCAAATGATCTGCTCTGAATTTGTTTCTCTCTTTTTTCTATGTTTCCTTTCCTTTCTTTTTGGCTTAAACTTCAGGATAAGATATTTTTAATATCTCTGTATTTTCGACTATAGTTTAAGGTCCTGAGATGAAAGACTAAGATGTTTTCATTCTGGACTAACCACACTCACTTAGAACCTAACTTCTCTGAGAGGAGGCTTATTGTTGTTATCTGCCCAGTTATTTGCTACCATGTAGACAAGTGTTAATCATCTCATTTTGAGCAATAAACAAAATCCATCCTTATCATTCAAGTGGACATGGCCAATTAACTATAATTGTGGTTACTAAACCACATTCCACTAGGTCAGATATGTTCAGAACTGTGATTTGGATTGGATTGAAACGTTCATAGCTACCTTTTCCCCTCACCTTTAATAGGAAATTCTAAGAATAGCTTTTCCATTTATCTCATTCCTTCATCTTTTACTTCAAGGAGGTACAAACTCTTTCATTAAACCAATAGCATGCATTTACTCTAACTGTATGCAATAACTAGAGTGAACTAATACTTTTTCCCTCCTGTTCTATGTTTTAATCTAATCAGAATTTTACTCTTTTAAGAGACTAGATTCAAGTCTAGAAATCTGTGCAATGCTTAATCAGTGTTTAAAAAGTAATTTTTGGTTTTTATTTTTTGAGACAAGGTCTTGCTTTTGTTGCCTGGGTTGGTCTTGAAATCCTAGGCTAAGCAATCCTCCCACCTCAGTATCCTCAGTAATGGGGATACAGGTGCATACCACTGCTTTACACAGAAGTGATTTTTGAAAAGGATAATAATCATGGTAAATTAGTTTATCTGCATATACTTTTCTAAGCAATTTTTGGAAGGTTGAGCCAAGAAAGATGAATTGGCAAAAAGTTTCCTTAATTCTTTCATCCCTTTTATCCTAAACTTTTTATTTAGGGTTCCTCTCACTTCTTAGTTGCATCAAGTAGCTTTACAAATTTATCTGTCTGCACTTTAGACTACAGGCTGCTACAATGAAGATAAACACTTATGATACCCTATAATATTCAATTCAAAATTTGAAATCAGTTATTATATATAGTTTTATACTATACTTCATTTTTTGGAATCAAAAGAGGCTATTTATAAATAACAAGGAGTTTATTTAACTCAGTCTATGAAATAAAGAATGATGGCTATGTTATATGATGTTCAACTAATACTAGTCTGCTGAGCCAAAAGTTCTTTTCTTGTGGTGTCTTGAAACACACAGTGAATGAAGCAGCTTATTTGACAAAAGAAACATACGTGGCTTTTCCTTCCCGAAGGAAAATGCAAGATAATGAAAACTGGAGAGTGGCAGATACAACTTTTTTAGACAATGGCTTGAATTTTAACTTGACATCTGTCTGAGTTGGCATAGGGCTTGCATACTGTTTCATATTGATGCTGCTAGTAGCAAGAGCTTTCCTTCGACCAGAAGGGGATTCCTAGAAGACACAAACACACACACACACATAAATAAATAAACAAACAAATGAATAAATAAATACATTTTTAAAGATTATATATTTTAAAATTATCTGATAGCCAAACAATAAATTTAAAAAAAACATTTATTTTTTACTTTTAAGTGGACACACAAATTTCATTTTCATGTGGTGCTGAGGATCGAACCCAGTGCCTCATGCATGCTCAGCAAGCGCTCTACCACTGAGCCAAAACCCCAGCCCCCAAATAATAAAAGTTAATAACAGCTGAGAACTTCCTTCTCCAATTAACTCCTATAACATAGTAATAAATAAAATCATGATGAGGTTTCATTATAGCTTTTATATCTAAGTAAGGCAGATAAGAAATTAGAAAGAGAGTACAGGTGGAAAAAAGGAAAGACTAGAAAACTCTAAATATCTTGGGAAAGGAAAAGCAAGGAACAAAAACAAGGACAAAGTGTCTCCAGATTTACTGTGAAAAAAGGCTCTAACACTGGGCTAGGCACCAACAAGTAGTCAACAATGGTTTTCCTTCCTTTCACTGTACTTAATGATACAATGTAACCTACTAATATTTCTCCTTTCTAACACTCAAAATTTTTTACAGAACTTCTACCCTAGGTGGCATTCTTCCTCTTTTTTGCCTATATTATCTAAATTCTATCTATAATGTCATTTGATCCTTATTTCTTTCCAAAGAACATTTCCAATCATTCCAGTTTGTAATTCTCTCTCACTTCCATAAGATCACACATTTAAAGGAAGAAACAGGTCTCTGATCTCAGGTTCATGGCAGCACTGCTAACTAACCCCAGAAAATTTCAAAATTCTTCTCGGCATTACTATTGCCAATTCATCAGAAATGGAACACAAAATGAAACCTGTCTGCTATTGAAGGTGTTTAAGCCATCATATTTCCTAATTGAAACAAAACAGCAAAATAATGACTAGGCATTAATTACATGTAAAGCACCGTAAATTCTGAAGGGATATGATGATGAATAACACATAATTCTTGAGTGTGTTTCTAATGGAAAGGAAAAAAAATTTTATGGATAATTTTTTAATGACATCAATCGGAGGTTTTATACATATATATAAATATTTATTATTATTTCTTAACATTTACTGATCTGGCAGTTGAGAGCAACATTTAAGGCTGAATGTCAAGTTCAAGTTGGGTGACCTTGAACAAGTCAGGACACTTGAATCTCAGTGACCTTCCCTGAAAAATAGAGGAGCTAAACAAATCCACTGAAGTCCTGCAATTATTTTCTATAAAATGTTCCAACCAAGGCAAGAAGAACTTCCATTAATATCTTTGAAATTTTATTTAATAAATCTTTATTTGTCCTGATTGACAAATCTGCCTAAAATAAGGATATACTAGTTTAATCAAAACATTAAAACAGACCTCAAAAATATGACATTTCTGCCCAGCAGAATAAGTAAAAATGCAATATAACATCCCTAAAGAACACCTTGTTTTAAAATGTGGTCTTATCTGTCAGATTATGCACAGCAATATTATACAGAACTATTAGTGCATGTAGATACCCTATGAATGAATTTCAAATATGCATCAAGCACTTGAGAAGGATTTAAGCCCTCTCAGAAAAAATACTTAAGAATATGCAAATACCCTCAACTGAATCAAGTTGAACAGATGTGTCTATCCCAAACAATACAAGTGTTCTTTCCCTGGTCGCTACTGTCAATCAAAGAATAAGATTAAGGTCCAAGGTTCTGACAATGTGCAAAATGATAAAGTACAATCAGGGAGTATCAATTTATTACACTGATATGAACAATAATCTCTTATTGTACTTTGGAATAGCTAAAACTTCTACATATAATATAGGATTTAAAGCCCCAGTTTTGAAAGCATGACATACAAACTGTCATGTATCATTTTCAGTTTTTATTAAATCTCTTTAACAAAGTATGACTTTGATCCCTTAATGTAATCATTTAATGTTGCAACAAAATAATCAAACTATAAAAATTAAGTTAACTTGGAAATAAGCATGATTTTGAAAACTATTAATGGGCTGGGGATGTGGCTCAAGCGGTAACGAGCTCGCCTGGCATGCGCAGGGCGTTGGGTTCGATCCTCAGCACTACATAAAAATAAAGATGTTGTGACCACCAAAAACTGAAAAATAAATATTAAAAAAAATTCAAAAAAACTATTAATGGTTCCTATAAAAATCTAGGTATTTGATAATTAACATTCTGTCAATTTCATTTTTTTGGACAACAGTTATATAAAAATTTTTTCTGCTGAACTCAGGTTTTATGATTAAAAATGTTCTAATTATTTGATAAATCAAAGTTTTTGAAACAATAGGTAATAACATCTAAATTCTAAACACAATTAGCTGAACCATTTAAGCAGAGGTTTTTAAATTTCAGGGTTTATTAAAAAGCAAAAACCAAACCAGGAGAACTGATTAAAAATGTAAGCATACTTAGATCCCACTCCTACAGATCCCACTCCTATAGTACAACTAGAGATGAATCCAGGCAGGAATCTGCTGACTTCTAATAAGTAACACCCATCTCACTAGTACCAGATGATTCTGAGCCAGTTAATCTAAAATCACATTTTCAGAAATACTTTCCAAAAGGAAGTGCTAACATAAAATTATTTTAACATAAAAAATCACATTTTTCATAACTACTCATTGTTATAAAAAGCCTATATTTTTCCATTTCTGTGAAATCCTGCCTATTAGATTGGAATCAAATGAACCAGGGTTAGAATGTGGCATCAGCACTTATTTACTCTAGCAGACTCTTCATGTATCTAACCTTCAATCTCACATTCTCAAATTGGAAATATTTAAAAAGTTGAACAATACACCAAATATCTGTTAGAATGAAAAACAATGCAAAACTCTTTTATACTTCCCAGTGTGGTGGTGCATGCATGTAATCCCAAAAACTCAGGAGGCTAAGATAGTAGAATCACAAATTTGAGACCAATCTCAGCAATTTAGTGAGCTTATTGCAAAATAAAAAATAAAAAGATCCAGGGATGTAGCTCAGCTCAGTAGTAAAGTATGCCTGGGTTCTACCCTCAGTATCAAAAACAAAACAATTCTTTCATTCTGCTGTGTTGTATAACCATCACTACTGTCTGTTTCTGAACTTTTTCATCAATAACTTCCACTCTCCCATCCCAGCACCTGGTAACTTCTATTTTTTCTATCTCCATAAATCTACCTGTTTCTTAAATAAGTGGAATCACACAGTATGTGTCCTGCTTATTTCACTTAGCATAATGTTTTAATTCTATAAAAAATTCAATTAGGATTTTGATTGGAACTGAATTAAATATGCAGATCAATATGGGTCCCTGGACATCTTCGCAACTGAACTTCATTATTATAAAATAGGGTATTTCTCTCTACCTATTTAGAACATTAATGTCTCTTAAAGTTTTATCATTCCCCCCTCCACAGATCTTGTACATTTTTTCCTGGATTTATTCCTCAGTATGTTGTTCTTGTAACAAATAATATTGTCTTTTAAATTATATTGTTGAATTATTTCTGGCACATAGAAAAGCAATTGAATATGCGAGGAGAATTTGCATCTAAGCAATTTTTCTAATATTCTTGTATTAATTTGACTACACAGTCCTACATATTAATTTACTAGATATTCCTATATTAATTTTACTACATTCCTTTTGGGTTTCTATTTTTATTATATCACCCACAAAGCCAGCTATTCACTCCATGTTTCCAATTTTTATTCTTTTTTTTTTTTTTTTTTGTGTGTGTGTGTGTGTGTGTGTGTTTTTGATGGTACACTACTGGCTGGATTTTTCAGTATGATGTTGACCAGGTATAGTGAAGGGGCCATTCTTTATTTATTCTTGATCTTGCAAGGAAATGCTTTTGATTTTTTATTGTTAAGTTAGTTGTTTACTAGAGTTTTTCCCTCTTAATATTACACTTTCCTTTATATAATTAAGGAAGCAACCTTTTATTACTGTTTTTTTTGAAGTTTTAATTTTATTTCTAATTAAATTTATATAAATGAGTATTTATCAAATGTTTTTTCCTCTATATTTCTGGAGAATGTAAAGTTTTCTTACTTTTTATTCTTAATAGGTGGTAAATTAATAATTTTCCAAAGTTATGGAAACCCCACATTCCTGGGATACACCCAATGAAGTCATGCTGTAGTATGTACTGTCTTTTGTATATTATATTTGTGGCTTTGGATGCTGCGATGGTTTGGATGCAATTTGTCTCTTAAAGGTTCATGTCCTGGAAGCTTAGTCCCCAGGGTGGTAGTGTGAAGGTGGTAGAACCATTAAGGGATGAGGCCTTGGGGAAGAAAATTAGGTCACAAAGGCTCCACCGTCATGAATGGATTAATGCTATTTCATCATTCTGTAGATGTGGATTAGTTCCTGCCAGAGAGCATTGTAATAAAAGAGGCATCATGAGCCCTCCCTGCTCTCTGCCTTCTTTTGTCACACTCATGTCTTTTCTGTATTTGAGTGTTTCCCTTTCCCCTTCCCAGCCATGTTGTGATATAGCCAGGGGACCCTCACCAGATACTGCATGATACAGTTTGGAGTTTTCATTGACTAGAATTGTGAGCCAAATAAACCTCTTTTCTTTTTACATATCTATATATGACCCAGCCTCAGATTTTTGTTAAGCAACACAAAATGGACTAAAATTGATGCCTAATATTTTGCAAGAAAATTTTTCATGGGGAAGATAGGTCTATGATTTTATTTTTGTGCATGCTGCTTGATTATTTATCTCAACCTGATAAACTGAGCCATTTTCCTTTTCCAGAAAGACTTAGAATTATCTGTTCCAAACGTTTGATTGAAGGCACTCACTGTTTCTGCCTACCCATACACCAGGTAAGCATATTCCTTACAGTCCTGCCTTGTTATTTCTCTTACTAGGAATGTTCTTCTCATAGGCATTATATGTCCAGCTCTCCAATTCCTTCAAATCTTT